AATTAGGGTTTATTTGCTATAGAACTAGTTTATATACGGTAAGTTTTTCTGGTTAAGAAAACTTATTTTTATTCAATTTTGGTTTAAATTTTGGTTAAAATGACTATTTTTTTGTTCAATTTTGGTTTAATTTGGTTTAAATTTTGGTTAGGTTAATTTATTCGGTTTAGCAGACTTCAATATAGAAGTCTACAAATTTTAAAACCTAAATAATAGATTTTCTTATTCTTAATTTAAAAACAAAAATTTCCATTTATCAATATGAAAAAATAATTTATGTACATTTGTGTTACAATTACGGAATTTATGAATGTAATTCTTATACCAAAATAATTTTTTCTAAATTTTAAAATTAAATTTACAAATTTAATTACTTAGTAGTCTACTAGTAGACTTCAGTTTTACTTTAGTAGACTTCGTCAGGGATAAAACGGTAATTAGGACATCCGTTTTTTGTTTATTCATACAGGATTAAATGGTCTTTTCACTACCCATGTAGGTTATATCTGCTAAATGTTTTTTCAGGGGTCTACTTTTGTATTCAAAATCAAGTTTTGGGTTATTTTTAGCAAAAATCCTTATCTTATTTGTGATGTAACACGTTCTTTTGAAATTATAATTCATCATTTCTGATGTGGGATTTCTAAATACGATATTTTAAGATGATGATTTTTTTCAATCTATTTTGAACCAAATTGTCATGAGTTTTGAATTCAAAATTATTGAAAATTCGTAGATTAGCTTATATAATTTATATAGTATTCTAGATCTAATCTCAATTTGACTATGGTATTCGTATCACTTATATATCATATGGATTATGTTGTGAATGTATATATTAGTACAACTCATATATGGCTCTAGAAAGATATCTTGCATCGTATGTGCAATTATATGAATTGATTTTCTAAAAAAAATATCTTGTGACAGCAGAAACCTTGAAACTTGGTTTAGGATGAATATTCACAGGACACGTAGAGACAATCCCTTCGAGTACGAGCTCGACGTGATAAGAACGAGTGGACCAGTGTAAAGCGGCTTATCACACTAAAGCAGATTTGTCATTTTATGACAATTTGGCTTACATCATTTTTGTAAGGAACTTGCTCTTCAAGAGGATCCAAAAATGTTTAAATTACCCAAATTCATAGTTTTTGTCTAACTACGATTGCAAAATATACGAGAGTTTTGGATGGAATTCACTCACAATGACCAAAAAGAGTGCTGGTTTTTCCTCCTAGTGAGGAAACCAATATGGTTTGGTTCAATGACTCAAATTTAGCTTTAAATGGTTTTTGGTTATACTTTGGGACTTAGGCGAAGAGTCTAGTTTTAATATATATTAAGCTTTGGCTTGGACAAATTAAATGTTGGAGAGTGTTTGTCGTGTAGATAAAATTGACTGAAATGAAAGTAGACATATGCTTGATCAATCGAACACAGAGACTTTTATTCTCTATCAATCAGCTTAAGAACGACTTTTCTTGATAAGGCTATTTCTTTTGAAGATTGATTGTTTGAATTTTGAACCGTATAATCTTTGGATAAATTTGGTGGGAATAATGGGAGAATTGTTAGGTTTTCTTATAGTGAGGTAACCGTTGTGGTTTGGCTCAACCCAAACTTAGTTTTGAAAGGCCTTTTTCGTGAGTAGACATTGAAAGTTGAACTTTAGCATCCAAAGATTGTACTTTGACTCAATTGTTAAAGAGTTAAAACTACTCTTCGACATGTTTATTCAACGCGAAGCCATGAAACTTCTATAAACAAAAGAAAAGAAAAAAACGGCATGATATTGATAGCCAACTAAGCATGGAAATAACAGTAAGTTTATACATAGAAATATGTTTCAACACAGAAGAAAAATGTGTGAAAGAGAGTTAGATTTGTGTACAGTGAAGCTATCAGTTATAGTAAAAAGTTTCTTTTAAAGCCAAGAGTCACTTTCTTTTTCAACTATCAACATTTTGACCCCATGCTTTTGCTTTTGTTCCATTTCAGACCATGTTAGACTTATCCTTCTTGCTATCGAACCCAAAAATTTGAAACACATCAAGGCTGGTCGCTTTTAGACGGCTCAAACCCCCGAGGCTCTCACTGAGGATCAAGTCTTCAGTATACTTTGAAGATCTAATGTCTGGATCCAGTGGTCCTAACGAATCCGGCAGCAAAGTGAAGTAAAACAAGAGTTTTGAATATATGGTATTTACATTACATTACGTAATTTAGTTTCCATTACATCTCGGACCTCACCAACGAACGACTTAATGTTCTTCTCCGAAGATCCAACGGCTGTAACCGCATCTTTTAAATGATGTTTAACCTTTTTAACGTTGTTTCTCAGCTCACAAGAAGATTCTCCGTTAATCATCAGCTTTCTAACATTAGCCGAGACTTGGTCCCTTGTGATCGGCTTCTTGTCACAAAGGTTAATCCCAATGCGCCAATCATCAACCACAAGCTTCCTATTCGTGAACTGATCGGTTAAAAGCGGATAACACAACAACGGTAAACCTAACCAAACGCTCTCTAGAACCGAATTCCATCCACAATGTGTTAAAAACCCTCCAACCGCCCGGTTTGAGATCACTTCCATCTGACAACACCACTGGACCAAAAGGCCTCGACCTTGGGCCTGATCCACAAACCCGACTGGTAGATAATCCGGCACATCGGTTCCAACTATATCGGGACGTAAAACCCAAATAAAACTAAGCCCACTTAGTAAAAGCCCATGGGCTATCTCAACGATCTCGTTCTTACCAATATGCGCATAGCTACCGAACGAGGCGTATAAGACTGACCCGGCAGGCCGGCCCTTGAGCCATTCGGTACAATCTGACTCGGCCCATAGACTCGTGGGGACAACCGCTTGGGTTGAGAAAACCGGACCGATAGCATAAACGGGTTGTTTGGCTTGTAGAGCCGAGAGAGAGCCTGGTTCGAGTTCTTGTACGGTGTTGCATAATACGAAATCGGCTCTCTTGACGTCTTTAAAGGCCTTGAATAGTATTCTATAGACGACTGTGTTTGTGTCTATGTCTTTGTCGCTTACTTGCAGGTATGACATCAAGTCCTTTGGCTCTATTGCTTCAACCCCTGGTACGTAATCGATCACGTCTTCACGATTATCTACAAACAAATAATGTTATCAAACCGTATAATTACATATGGAATATTCTCTCGAAAATTCATTAACGATCTAGTCACCGATTCCACAAAAATACACAAATCATAAATGTATCTCTTCTTCCGATATAATACACAATTTCGAATTATTAATGACTCGTGATAAATTTCAAAATGATTGATATTTTAAATGACAAAATACAGACCTAAAATTTGGTGATATCTATGTAATTATTTTATATATAGCTAAGTTAAATAATTCTTACAATTTTATCAATAATTTTATATATTGTTTATCAATATACTATATAATTTGTTTCCCTAATGTAAAAAAAAAAACTCTAATTAACAACTAGCTAAATTAATAGAAATAAACTGGTCTAAAAATATGTATTGAAAAACACACGAAAAAACTTTAAGTGAAACAAAAGTTAAGTGCTAGAAATGGAATTATTATGAAACAGATGAGCAATAAACACATGATTAACAGA